TAAGGTGTATGAATCAATATAGTTATCTATGAAAACAATGCAACTTTAAATAATCAAAATAAAATACAACTATTACTGTCTTTTCTAGCGCCTCGTCGCGGAAACAATCAGTTACAATAACCTTACAGTTGGCGAAAGTAAGGTTTTCTTTATATCAGAACATTAATGCAAGATTGTTCTAATTTCAGAGTAAGCTAAGGTGAACCACGCCGCTTTATAATATAATTTAGGCCTTAATTTGTCTTCATTCTATAATTTTGCGCAAGTGGGAAGTTGACCATGAAGGCTATTACAGTGTGATTATTGCACAAAAAGCTGCACAAAGAATTATAGCTCATAGTTACCACACCGTTAAGTCCTAAATCAATTTTTTTTCAGATAAAGCATTATTCGGAAGGAATCTTTTAGCAATTGTATTGTAAGAGGAGTGTAAAGAGAAAACACCACAAAAGATAGACCTCTATGACTCACCCTCTCTCCCCTAGAAAGAAAATGTGTTACACTACCCTACTAAGTAACAATCGGCCCCATCACGTCATTTTCTGGTGCCGAAAAATATCCCTCACGCTCAGTGCGTCGCTTGTTGAAGATTTTTCGTTTCGTTGGATTCCCATTGAGAAGTTCAAGTGAAATGCTTTTCCTAGATTGTTTGAGGTAATTTATGTAATTTAACAAGCATATTTGATATACGAACTGGCTCCTTTCATCCGGAAAAGCGGTGCAGGAAATATTTACATACTGTCTTAGGTTAATGCGAGTTTCGACGGACCTGTAAATGTCAACTTCTTTCACTTTTAAATTTTTGCCAAGAAATGGTGGCCGTCTCTCTTACAAATATCACAAAACTGTGACTTCGCGTGATGGTTTTTAATGGCACCTATTCTTGTATCACGCAAATAGCAGGCGTCCTTATATAAAAAGTTAAACCGTCCGTGAATAACACAGTACACGCAATTAGTCTTGGCGGTTTTTAATTTTCTGTCAGACCAAATTTCTATTAAACGCCTTTATATATCAGGGCGCTTTCAAACCAGATAGCTCTGAAAAAAAGAGTAGTAGCTGGCTCACCTGATAACAAAAAGTTAAGGTAAGCTCGAACTGTTTAAGTTTTACTGGACTGGTCAATGTTTACCGTTGTATCCTTGCCGAGCAGAGGAAAGTGCATGCTGGTGTTTGCCAAGTCTTGATTCATAGTCTGTTTTTTAAACGATACTTTCCCTGACATTTTCTTGACATGTCGCAACACTTTAAGGATGTAATAATTTGGTTGAAGCTTTTCTTATAAGCCAATCGACCTTTCCCGAGTAATAATTTGAAATGTAAAAATCGAGGAGTAAAATTGAATTCCATTCATGTGCCATGTAAGCTTCTCACGTTTATGGGAAATAATATGAGGCTGAGCTTCAAGTATGTTCACCTCTTTACGCAATTCTTGAACATCCCTCTCCCAAGTCGTGTTATTTCGCCCGGCATGATACGCTTGGTGAAGACTGAACAAAGGTGAATTTTAGAGCTGGGTTGATGGTAATTAACAAATTTTTTTTTTTTCAAGGGATAATTTTGTTTTAAAATTCAGCAAAAGACTCAACGTACATCATTCAAGAAGCATTTAACTTGTGTAAAGAGTTTCAGCACAACTTTTCCTCTCCAAACCAACACAGTACCGTTAGTAACACATGATTGGTTATGGCTATTCATGCACCTGTTAACCCTGTAGGCCACAATATTCACAAACAAATTCTCCCAACTAATATCCATTCATTTCCTCAAAGAATTAGTTAAGAGGAATTTGTTTGAGGATTAAAGCGTTTCATCTAGGTGATCATTTCATTAACTCTCATAACTTTTTCTCTTGATTATGTATTAATATTGTTAGGAGAAAATTGATGTTAGTCACTCTTTGGAGTTAAAAGGTTAAGGGTCCAAGCTCACTGTTAAATCTCTATGTGTTATTAGACAAGATTATGGAGCTGAAGATGCAAAGATTCTCTCAAGACATTTAATTAATATTATCAAAATAAAAACTCAAAGTACAGTGTACAGACCAAAAATAATTTGTTCATGGAAATTGCCTCTGTCAGTGAGACAAGTGAATTCAGACGTAAAAGCCATTAGTTTCAGTCTGTTTCACATACCAGTAATGCGACTATATTTGTATGCGGCACCTGATAATTACGTAATCGCCCATAAAGAACTCATGCCATGCAGTGAGTAAGGTCTTACTTAAATTGTCTTCAATTTCTTGAGACTTCTTTGATTATCTTAAAATTGCCTGCTGGAAATATGTTCCTTCCAATTTCATACAGGTTACATTTCATCCAAAATCCTAAGAGAACATGGGATAATTACTTGAAGCTAAATTTAATTAATGATTTATTACATAGCTACCTTGGGGTCAATTTTGTCGCTCAGCCATGCAATTCTAAATAAATATGCAATTTGAAATGTGTTAATTTTAATGGTATTTGAACTGTTTAAGCTACTAAAAATGAAATTACTGATTCAGAACTGATATATCTACTGATCATTGATGTCAAGAAAACCGATCAACTCAACAACTCAACTCTCGATCAACAACTTGCAAATTTTATTTAGAGTATAAGGTATGCTCAGTGTAACAAACAGTAGTGTATTGACAAGATAAAATCTGTTGCTGATGTTTTTGTTGTAGTTTTTTGTGCTTATGTTAATTTAAATGCAGTATCTGTCAGAGCTTGTTCTATGCCTCGGGGGTTATTTCTTTAAATGCAGAAAGTTGTGTACAGACAGAACTCAGGTTGAATGTACAACAACTTTTATAGGTTTTGAATGGTTAGTCATTGATGGGGCTATCCATCTTTTGAACAACCCGGGCCAGAATAGCATTGCCCACCCTTGTGAATAGCATTGCCCACCCTTTCAACAACTGGGGACTGGGACCAGATTGTTAAGAAAATGGAAAAATTGTTTTGCACATTACCAGGACATAAGTTTATTCACTACATAGTATTACATAATAATAAAATTTACAAATTGTTGTTTTCCTCATAGTCACAATGGTTTAAACATGCAAAACAAGAATGATCATGCAACAATTTTAAATCGTGGTTATTATAGATGAGTTTACATGTACATGTATATCGGCGGGTGACCACCATTAGGGTATCCTCTCCCATGTAAAGTGTAGCTTGTGTAGCAGGTGCTTGGAAGTAATGGGTGCAGGAAAGAGCAGGGTGCATGAGGGGAGAGGGGGTGCCTGCCCAGGAGACCCATGAAAATTGTTTCCCAACCCCTATCCAATTACCTGGCAGCCGCTGCATAATCTGTCAAAAATTTTGACAGAAAACGATTGACCTCACACAAATAAAGCATGCCAAAGCATTGTACATTTATATCCTTGGTCTATCTGTTATAAAGATCAGTTAGGTTATCTGATTATAGAGCGATGGAGCAATAAACTGACGATAAACACACAGAATTAAATCATTTTAAACCAAAGGCATGATAAATATGAAAAAACAGAGTCAAAAATGGATATTGTTTAACAAATGCATGCTATGTATTTTAAAAGCTAAATATTGTTCTCTGAGATTACAAAATCACAACTGTACAGACACCAAACTACAGCTTACATGGAAAATGACCATTGCTTTTGCTGTTTTTGGAGCAGGCTTGTCTTACTAAACGAACCTAAAATTGAGAACACAAACTGTACTGAGATGTTTCTACAGGCTGCAATAACGAGGCATTAAAATCATATGCCAGGTTGTCTTTGAACAAATCATAACAATAGGCCACTTGCACTAAGAGGTCACGTGACCAATGCTTCCTTTAAACAATGAGTTGGAATCTTGCTGATGCCAAAAATTGATGGAGCACGTAGAATTTATCTTACACCAGAAATTTGAGAGGAAATGCAATTAAAAGAGATATTTTATGGCACTTTGATTTTTAGTAGTAGCATGATTTGTATTGGCTGCCATGTTGTAGGGCATACTCTTGCCTTCCAACATGGCAGCCAAAACTGCTTTTTGCTTATATCTCGTTAAATGTTTGATAGTTTCACTCAGATGTACTGTAAACATTACTACATCATCGTTTCAACATTTTCCTTGAAGTTTAAGTGCAAAATTTGTGTTCAGAAAGAGGTAATTCATAATTTTGGAAATCACATTTTGCTCATGTGACCAGCTACGAACTTACTCATTTTAAGAAAATGGCGCGTGTTTGAAAAACCAAATCACTATTATTTTGTTGAAGATAGAACCCACTAATCGTTTTTCAAGGAAAAATCATATAACTTTCGTTTTAAAAAAAAAACGATGTCACATGACCTCTTAGTGCAAATGGCCTATTAGCGAAAGTTTTTCAAATTCACGCCCCTCAGTAGAAAGTGTTTCATTTCATCAATCCTCTCTAGGTCTTGATGGTTTGCATTCCATCAACAATGGAAGCCCCCAAGTTATGTTTGAACAAAGAATCTTTCCTCTGATCTTCATTTCAATGATTCAACAAATCTTTTGTCTGTTGCCGCTTCTGCTAATGCATATTTGATGTTAAATCGCTCCTTTGTGAGTACTATTTGAATGCTCCATCTGTTCTTTTAGATTACAGCCACAAAGTCCCATTGAAGTGACCTCCAAGATCTGAACTTCGATTATACCATTTAGTGATGTAACAAAAGAACTTCACTGCCTTGTCCGTCCATCTACTACATGTGTACAAATGATCTCATGCTTTCTTTGACTGACAGTTTTCTCGCCTAATGCAAACATTTATCCGCTCAGGAGCCTCTAAACCAGTAGGACTTCCACACTCTCAGAAAGCAATTTTCATGGGCCTCTCAGGCGGGCACTCCCTCTCTCCTTGCGTGTCTCCCTTGCATGCCCCATTCTTTCTTGCGCCTGTTACTTCCTATATAAAGTGCATATACATACTACTAGATAACTTAAACATCTGTTTTTTCAACAGTGTTGCCAAGGGCTGCTTTGAACTACGCAAGATCTAATTTGTTCTTGAAAATGATACCTGCAGTGTTAGCCTCAGCGATACCTGAAGAGAGCTCTGTAACACACAGATCATGCAAGAGTAGCTCAACATCACCAAGGTTTTGCTGGGTCAAACCCAGTAAAATGTTTTACTGCAAGATCTGTTTGTCGGAGTGTCATATCAAGAAAGGTCAAACATTGGAGAAGTGCACTTGCACATTCTGTAAAGAGGTTTGTAAAAACACTGCACAGTTTTAATATTATTAGCATGACTATACTACAATCTTTGCATGACCCTCTCAGTGATTTTTACTGATTTCCTTTAGTTTCATTTAATGGGCCATGAATATTCTGGCACAGCTCAGGTCTTTTATCAATTTATGATTTTTCATAGGATTTTGAGTGTCAAAATTATTGTTCAACTATGGGATCTACTTTTTCTTAAAATGTATTTTTTGTACCATTTACGAATTAACCCCCAATAGCTACCTAAAGTAAACTTCCCAAAATTTTTTTGATAGAATTTGCTGAAAAAATTGTTTTTTCTGTCTATGTTAACCCTGTGTCTTCTTTGGACCAAATTAGTCACTCTGATCCAATGCAAGAAAGAAGGTTCATGAGCAAAAAACATCTTAAGATTAAGGGAGCTCGTAACTATTATTTCAAAACAATAGGTTATTGTTCCAGAACAAAAGTTAAGAGCCCTTTTATCTTAAGAAGGTTTTATGCAACCTGGCCCTGACCCCCAATATTAAATGTCCATTTTTCTCTATTAGAACAGTCTTCAAAATATTACAATATTCCATAATACTAAAAAGGTCTTTGCTCCTCCCTGTCACACTGACTATAAAAGCTTTAATTGTTACTCTTATCAAGCATAAAAAAAGAATTATTTTATTTGCAGTGCCTGGAGCAGTATGTCTTGTTTTCAATTAGCAATGGAAATGTTCTCAAGTTACCTTGCCCAGATGCTCTTTGCCGCAAAAGTGGCCAGTTAACAACCAATGAGGTCAGTAAGCGGGGGTTAGCAGAGTTGTCATTTCATTTAGTAGTACATTTTATTTTTTGATGAGTCAGCTGAGAAAAGGAAAAATCAGTAAGAAATAAAATGCGATGTATGATAACATGTTAACATCATGTAATGTTGCTTAACTTTGTACTGTTAGGTTTCTCAGCTGGTTAATGAGGAAATGTTTCAGAAGTATGTTGTATTACGCAGAAAGAAAGGTGATTTTTTGACACTTGTCATTTTTGTTTTATGATGTAGCTGCTTTCTTTCACCTAGTAAGCAAATACATGTGGCCTTTTCTTACCATTTTCCTTTTTGTTGTAGAGGTTGCTGTTGATAAAACAAAATCATTTTGCCCAATGGTTGGCTGCGATGGAATATGCAGTGGAATTCCTGGTGCCTCAGAGCCTACAACCTGCCAAGAGGTAATAACTTCAGAAGGGAAATTCCTTTAAGCTTTACAGCAAAATTTTAAGTACTCACCCATCACTGCAGGTCTTCATCAGGTGTTGGTTGTGATTGGATGTGTGGAAGTATTAACAGCAAGTAACATGGCAGTTAGATTGTTATATTTAATTCTCAGATGGTCAACATCAATTATCCTCATTTTTTTGTTTTAGAATAATATGTTCCCTTAGTTTTCAGCTATTTTACCAATCAACTGTTTTGTTGTCTGAGCATAGGCATCTACAGTAGAACGCGGGTAACTCGAACTCTGAAGGGAAACAAAAAACAGTTCGAATTAGCAGGGAATTCAAGTTATCAGGGTGAATTTCAGTGAAATTTTGATCAACGAAAAGGAAATTAGTTTGAGTTAGTGGGGAATTCAAGTTATTGGAGTTTGAGTTATGGAGGCTCTACTGTATTGTTTTGGAAGACCCTTTGTCTTTGGAGCCCAGCGATGAGAGCTTAACCAATGGAGGAAGTGGTCAATAAATTTAACCTTGAATTGAAATATAACACAAACTTAACCTTCTCCTAATGCAGACTTTGTCAGATCTTTTCATGACCTCAATTTGAATCAGCTGAGTTCTGAATGTGTGAAAGTGGTGTCCCCAAACAATGATACACCCTTTTTGCCTGTAAATGCATGCTATTATGGTCATTTTTTGGTTTTGTTTTTTCAGTGCGGTTATACTTTCTGCTTTGACTGTAAAGAAAGCTGGCATATTGGTATGACATGCGGAGAGTACAAGGAAGTGATTTCTGACTCGGCCTCAGGAGTAAGGTGGGCAATGGAAATAAAAAATTCAGACATTTTGTTGTTAATTTGCACGTTACACAAATTTGCAAATCTTTGTTTTATTCTACTAGGAACATTTTGTACATCAGAAAAGTTCAAAATTTTCAGACAGCAAAGATCCTTTCCATGCATTTGTTACCTCAAAGCTTGATAATTAAAACTCTTTGCTTTATGGTCTCCCCAAGGACTTATTGCAGCATCTGCAATATGTTTTGAATTCTGCAGCTAGGCATCACCATGTCAAGAAAATCAGATTATGTTACACCACTGCTTTTCAGTTACACTGGCTGCCTGTTGAGCAGCGTATTGAATTTTAAGTGTTGCATTTAACATAATGATACAAGGTGATGCAAGGTTTGGCTACTCGATACTTAAGTGATCTCCTAGAGCCTTACTCTCCATTGCATAGTTTGCGATCTGCTTCAAAAATGTTTCCTAAGTAGCCCTCATTTAATCTGAGAACATAATTATTTTGGTTTGCACACCAAGACTTTGGAATTTGCTGCCTTTTTACATTAAATCAAGCCCTTCTGTTGACATTTTAAAGAAAAGACTACAGACATCTCTTTTTACTAATGCTTTTCATTGAATCATTTATTAATTTTGGTGAAGGTGGAATTTGCGATGATAGGTTTTACTTTATATTACTAATATTATTATTATTATTTTAAAAATGTACCAATAGGTCTCTCTGGGGCAAGGGGTGTATAGTCTTTGTGTGTTAATGAGATGTATTCGTGTAACTTTTGGTTCCTTGTAGAAAATATGGCGTCCTTTTTGTCCCTTCAGATTGTTACACCAATATCGATATAATCATCAAGAGAGAGTGAAACTAATAAATACTAACTTATTGCTATTTTGACAGATTTGTTGATATCTTGAAAGAAAGTGGGGAAATGGGCGATTTGAAAGAATGTCCACTCTGTCAAGTTTTGATTATGAGAGAAGCTGGATGTGCTCAGATGATGTGTGGCCACTGCAAGCACATCTTCTGTTGGCACTGCCTCAAGTCTCTTGATGTAAGTACAATAGCCAAAACGTAATATTTTAAAAAATGCAAAGGACTAGCTAGTCTCCCTCCCAACTACTATCTGAAAGTAAATATGATCATGAGGACTAAAGAGAGTCTGGCAAAAGAAGGACAGAGAAGCAAAAATTAAAGACAAACAACAACAACAACTAGAACAAATGCTTGCTCAGAAACATTTGCGGAGCGCATATGCTCCTAAACATAAAACAATAGGTTTAATTTGTTCCAGAAAAAAAATGAAGCTGGGAAATGGCCATGGTTGTCCCTAAAGGGCATTGGTAGTATTCCTAGGGAATAACTTAATTAGCCCAGGAGGTTCCCATGCCTTTTTGCCAGCTGGCAAAAAAACGCAGGTCACAGGTCTTAAGTCAGGTAAAAGTTCAGGTCATCATGCTAAGGTAAATAAACAATACTAAGAGTCTCCTTGCCCTAACCTCAATACAAAATAGAGTTTTAGCTTGATGGGAAACTGCTTATCTCAGTTATTTATCAATGAATACACGTAGATCAGTGACCTGCACTTGTGGCCTGTGTTTTGTACGTACATGCCAAGTCAATAAGTTAACAATATGTTGAAATATATATGTTTTCTTTTACCAGAGTGATATTATGTTGAGACATTATGACAAGGGTCCTTGTAGAAACAAGTTAGGCCATTCACGAGCTTCACTCTTTCTCCACAGAACACAGGTTAGTTAAAGGCCCAGCAGTCACTATTCTTTTTATTAATTTGGGGGCAAACCTCACCACCACTTCCACCAAGGGTGTTGGTTGAAGCCTCCTCCCATCTAATAAACTAAAATGTTATCAGTAGCTTTCAATAATATGGATATTATTTTTTTTCTAGCTTAATGCCTATAGCTTTATTTGATGGGCAGCAATGCAGCAAACTTGTAGTCCTTTTGACTCAGAGTTGTAAGCAACAAGGTGGTACATGGTTTGTTTAATATTGTACATGTAGTTACTTACATGTACCACTCTTTTTTGCTAACTTAGAGAAAGTCCAATTTTTACCATAACTGAGTGATTTCTCTCACGCTGATTAGTCGAGAGCTATGTTCGATAACAGTACAGTTCTCCCTTACTTGAGATTCTGAGAAACTTCAACGGAATTGGACATAAAAACTGTGAACGGTTGTTATGGTAGAAAACAAATCGACAACAATTTTCCATGGTCTGTACCCTTATCCACCATAGAAATGACATCAGAATGTTCAAAACTTTGCATTGAAACCACTCGCCTGCAGCTCCTGGTCATGTCCTGGTTCCACTTGAGTTTTGAACATTTTGAAATCATTTGTGTGGTGGATAAGAGTACAGACCATGGAAAATTGTTGTTGATTTGTTAACTAGAAAACAGTTTAATCATTGAAATATGTAAATCATAATTTTGAGTGAACTGTTTTTGTTTCAGGTTGTTGCTGGATTTGCTTTCTTTGGATTAATGGTTTTAGTGGCATCCCCATTTCTACTATTAATTTCACCATGTTTGTTGCTGTCAAAGTGTTTGTTGCGCAAGTAATGATTTATTACATAGGAGCCGGGAAATTATTCCAGGAAAAAATAATTTTCAGTGAAAAAAGTAGGAAAGAATTTCTAAAAGGAATTGGCTCTTTTATAAACTAGTAAACTCCCCCAGCAAAAGTTCAAGGTTCCAAAAAAGAATAATAGCTAGATGGATTTGAACTCTGCTTATTAAAATCCTTTCACTCCCAAAGTAAATTAAGTAAGGTGTTGGAATATGGCATTACTATTATATTTGAATCTAAGGAGAAAACTCCTTGATGTGATTGTACTAAAAAGAGTTCACATGAAACTCAGGCCTGTGCTACTTTACTATTATTACCATGAACAGAAACTTTTTATATTAGTGAAACTATACTCTACTCATGATTATAGAAGTCGTCCTTTGCTTATGCTTAAGTCTTGTGGTGTAGGTTACTATTCCTGTAATTAGCTTATTAAGTACAATACAAGATCAAAATATAGTAAGTCATAGAAGGACAAGGCATAATAGTGCTTATTCTCTCATTGCTACAGACCATTCAAACAAAGTGTCTTTTGTAATACTGTAACAACTGCTATTATTTGTTTCCCTCAGTCTCCAAAATGCAATTTGAATTTGTCTTCAATTTCCTTTTGAATAACTTTTGGGAGTGAAAAGATTAAAGAAATTATATTTATTTGGTTATCCAAACTAGGAAAGCTAGCGTAAAACTAATTTTTAAATTAAGGTTGATGCCTTGTGCAAGAAAGACATTATTTACAGTTCTGTATCTAAGGCTGCGTGCAAACGGACACAACAACTCCCAACATTATTGCGCCAACAATGTTGGGAGTTGTTGTGTGCATGTTGGCAGTGGTGTGCAAACGGATGCAACAACTCCCAACAATGTTGGGACATGCAGTGCATCGTGGGAAGGATACAACCCATAAGTCTTTGTAAACCATACGTAATGAGTGTGCGTGGCCCCAACAATGTTGGAAGAGCTGTGGAGATGGATCCAACATTGTTGCGCTACGCTTCGGCAATCACGGAACAAAAGTGGAACAAGAGTTGTTGGCTGAAAAGTTTGACCGGTTTCAAACTTTGCGCAACAACATCCAACAACATGCAACAGAGTGTGCAAAAGGATGCAACATGTAGCATCCAACAATGTTGCGTCCGTTTGCACGGGGATTAAAGGAAAAGTCCAGGATGTTGGGGGGGGGGGGGTCTTTTTCGATACTGCGTGGCTAGTGCATACTGTTCGTTTTTTTTTTTAAGATACCGGGCGCCCCCGCATATCCCCCCCTCACCCCCCACGCGCCCTTCCCGACGTGGGGCGGTTGCGCCGGGGGTTAAAGAAAAAACCCGGGGTTTGGGGGGGGGGGGGTCTTTTCTAAACACACCCATGTGGCTAATAGACTTGAGAACTTAAGGATTGTTAAGGTCTGCATATTAAAAAAAAACACCTTCCCCCCCACCCCTGGGAAGGCTACTTTAAGGAGGATGTTGATAAACTGTCCAAGGGAAGTTGGGTTTCTGTTTAAGTTCTGTTACTTATTACACAGCTGCATTTCTTTTCAAGTGATGTGAATGACCTATACACTACCATAAATTTGTTGACTCTTACTACAAACTTATTCTTTTGGAGTGTACTACTTTTGGCCTTAGTCTGCACACTGGTAGCAGATGAATTTCTTGAAAACTGTAATGGCATAATAGCCTTTTTCCTAAAACTTGGTACACAGCATTCCAAACTGAACAAGTCTAACAAGTCAGTTCCCAATAGTCTTGTCTAAATTGGCCTTTAGCTTAGAATGCTTCTCCAAGTAGTGAAATACCATAAACATAAGCAACATTGCTAGCTCAAAAAGGGCAATTATGATTTTATAAATCCAGCACTATTAATAAAACTATATTTCTGTCAGACAGAAAAAAAAAGGGCAGTAAAGTTTATGTCAGGTGTAAATTAAGTATGCCTGATATAAATGGGGCACAAAAGGGATTTTACATCTTAATAAATCCTAAGCTAGCTGAGACAAGGTTATCTCGGTGTAATATCTTTGTAAAATTATTAGTTATTATTAATGAAGAAATAAGACTGTTGTTTCTGTTTAAAGAAATCAAAGACAACTTAAAGTTTGAAATAAAATCTCAAATATTGAAATTTTCAGTTGTGTTTTCTTGATGTTTTTGATCTGAGGGAGCCTGTCAGAGAATTCTGTTTAAGTTCAAGTTCATTTTATTCCCTCTTATTCATATGCATAATTACAGTAGACTTGTTTTTGAAAAAAGAAAAAGATCAGAGAGTATCACTTTACTGAGCATAACATGGCAACATCAAAGGTGGCAGCAGCTTGAAGAGAGGTAATAAAGACCGCTTTTGTGGTCCAAAAGGTTTTAATCCTGATAACGATTCCTCCCCATTAAAAAGGTGTTGGTCTTGAAACCAGGGCTCATACTAAAAATTTGCAACCAGTTTTCGAGGACCACATCAAATTTTCAAGGACCAACTACCAGAGGAAAGTAATTTCACAGATGATTCATCCAGTCTTAGCTAATAGACTGCCCTATCTCCTTCTCTACGTTTTTCTGTCTTGGTCAATAACAACACTTGAGCATTAAAAGAACACTTTCCTGGCATTATTTGCCGAAGAAGCCAACGAAACATGGAACTCGTAAATAATAGAGGTAGCGTGCACAGGAACACACACAACCACTAGTACTGGAAAATCTACGTTTGACTGACTTTTGAATTGGATTACTTTCCTTCTCAATTTCTCTTCGTAAACTGCTTTTACAGTGTTTAAAGTTGCTTAGCATTTTGCTTTCGACCCCACTACACATTCAGAGTTAAAGAAAATTCAAGTACTTTTCAAGGACTTAACAAAGAAATTTAAGTACTTTTCAAGGAAAAAGAAATTCAAGGACTTTTAAAGACTGCAAACCCTGGAAACTCCTGATCATTGGTAACTGCCCCCTTGTATCACCTTTGGCAATGAAATGAGCTCTGTGAAACGTACCACTTTTTTATTACTCTCCTTAAGAAAAAACTCTGTATAGTATAAGTTGTACTATTTAAAATATAAATGACGTGAAACTCTTATATATGCAGCCACAGAAGAGAATAGGGAGCTTTAGCATCAACGAGGGCAACGGCAGCGAAAACGTCACTTAAAATGAATTCCCGTTTTTCCAAACTTTGTTGCGTTTATTTTTATTTGCTGAAAATGGCAAATGTTGGCGAATTTCCCTGCAGTTGATTCTTGAGGAGCGCACTCAGGTTTAGAGAGAGAGAAAAAGAAATTCGTCGTCGCTTGTTTATGTCCTCCAAAAAACTTGCAATTAGGCATTTTCACGTCGTAGTTGTGCAAGGAAGGTAAAGAAATGTACAAAAATGTATGCACGAGCAAAGTCGTTGTTTTGCGTAATAAACCTATTGCTTTTTTACGTCCTCCTCCTTTTTTTGAAGTTTCCTATTGAGATGATGCCTGATGTAGTGTTTCAAATTTTACATTACTTGCAAGGTCGGGCAATTTGTAACAAAATGACTGAAAAATTGAAGCCTGGACAAACAAACAGGCTCAAGCTTTTAGTGATATTCATAGTTTTTACATTAATTACAATAAAAATCTTTGATGTTTTTTAAGTTCGAACATTGAATGTGAAACTCAGTAAAAAACACTCAGAACAACGGATAAGCTGGGTGAAAACAAGCTTGGTGATTCCATCTTTTTAATGCATTTTTCCAATATCCTTGCGCCAGTTTGAAATTCTGGATAGAACATCCTTTTCAATGGAATTACATACATACATACATAGTTTATTTGGTAACGCAGGTTACAGAATACGCAAGACTGAAGTCCTGATGTGGACCTGCCTATCTACTTGTTAAAAACTAAGGTATATACATGTGAATAAATAGAAAATCAACAGAAGTTAAATAATAAATAATAACAATACAAATATAAATAAGATTAATAAAGAAATTCCTCATTCCTATTTCTTATCATGGAAGATTCCTTATTATAGCTTATAGAATTAATTAAGTCCTTGCTAGATCTAAGTCTTTTTTAAAAACATTCTAAGCTAGAAGACTTTTTGATCGAATCAGGAAGTGAGTTCCAAGCAATGGCAGCTCTATGCTTAAAAGTCAGCCTGCCAATTTCTGATTTAGGACTTGGAAATTCAATATTCATTGATTTCCTCAGGCAGTGAGATGATTGTTTTAACATTACTAGATCATTTAAAACATTGGTATTGCATCTATAGTAGGATTTATACGCTTCTACTAACAGTCTCTTAGTATAGTAAAATGATAAATTGTTCCAGCCTTTCAATTTATTTAATTGATCAGCATTCGAATTCCTTGAAAGTTTAAAAATAAGTTTAGAAGCTCGTATATGAGCACGCTCAAGATCATCCATTAGTGCAGGTGAGCAGGAACCCCATACTAGTATTCCGTATAAGACACTTGGAAGTACAGTCCTAAAATAAATGGTCTGTAGAATGGATGATGGCAAGAATTTAATTCTTCTGAGGACTGCTATTTTCTTATTAAAAGATTTTAACAGACTTTTAGTGTGTTCTTGCCAAGAAAGATTACTGTCTATAGTTACTCCTAGACATTTACATGATGATTTTAATTCAATAAATTTTTCACCATACTTCAAAGGCAACAATGGACCAATGAATCTTTGTTTAGATAATAATAAGGCTTCTGACTTAGTTTCATGAGCAATCAATCTGTTAGCACCACACCAACTAAGAACTTGATCTAGTATAACTTGCATGGCCTTAATTATAGTATCAATATTATCACTTATGGTAAATATGGTAGTATCATCAGCAAACATATAAAGTTCTCCCGAGGTTACAGATTCAGGAAAGTCATTGACATAAAGGGAGAACAGTTTGGGTCCTAAGATTGACCCTTGTGGTACTCCAAACTTGATAGAGCTAGTGTCTGATTTCACTTCATTAACTTGAACAAATTGGTTACGATTTAACAGGTAGCTTCCCATCCAAGATAGTAAATTTCCTGATATACCAACAGCTTTCAATTTTTGTAATAGGATGGTATGGTTCACCGAGTCAAAGGCCTTCCTGAAGTCAATAAACAGAACACCAACTTTAAGCACCTCAAGTGAGATGTGCATAGTGGGCAACGGAGTAAAGCTTTGAAGTTGACTGCATATTATCAGAGAGAGGAGCAAACGGACATAAAAAGAAATTCGGACTTTATGTTTATGAGTCATAAACACACTTTCCTGTGGTAACTTCCTTTTATTTTACTGTGTAAGGTAAACCTATTGAGCAGTACATTGTTTGGTCATTTTTATGCAGTATAAAATTAATTTACCTGGTTCAAACAATCATTTTCAAGAATGTGGTATGGTAGGAGAAATGTATCAAAGATGGAACTGTTTAAACTGAAGTGTGGTCTTAACTTTAAGAGTCTGGATTATGTTTAAATGCTGCTCGTTTGAGTATTTTACATGGTATTCATGATGGTTTCCAGGAAATGAGCTTGTGTAATATAAAACATACATGAAAAAAAAAAGCTTTTGACAACTTTTGAGATGCTCTACACAAAGATGGAACTAAGATTTTAAATTCATTAAACATTTGATCACTTTATTATATTAAAACAAATTAATAATTATTCACTGTAGTAAAAAGACCGAGAGAAAAACTAACTACACCTCTCTAGCTTTGGGTAAGATAAGTATATATTGTACACAATAATGTTAAAACACATAGTCTCTACACAGTAAGGTGTCAAATAATAACAACTACTCAAGCCAAATACAAAATGCCTGGTTGTGTAAAAGTAGCTACAATATTTTTGTAGAACTTAACATGTGTTTAAAAAAAATAACAAGAGTCTGTGCAGCAGATGAAAACAATGTCAATTCTTTACAGTATTACATGTTTGTACAACTTGCAATGTTCTGTGCAAATGTAGCATGTTCCAAAGATACAATATACGTACAATGTATGTTATGCTGTGAGGACGAACAAAATCATAGAAAAGGCATTGTGTAAAAATTGGCAAAAGTAATTTTGTCAAAGTAGTATAAAGCAAAAGTAGGTAGTTTAAAAAACCTAGCATTTACAAGGATGGTAGAAATTAAGTAATTGGAAAGCACACTATGAAAAAATGAAGTGCTGCCTGAAATCATTGTTCAATGTCACCACTCTGTCAAATCTACAAATGAAACCTAATAAAGAAAGCACTTGCCGGCAAGTCTATGTAAGTACCTTCTGAAAGTCACCTGTCAAAATTTACAAGCCGAACCTACGTCCTTATCCATTTCTACAAAACAGAATTCGCTCATAGAAAAAAGAAACATAACATATAACTGCATATTTTTCCAAGCGACTTGAAGTTGTAGTGACAGCCCTAAAAGTTAAGCATGAAATGTCCTTACCCAGAGTAACTCTACAAAGTTCTTTAAACATTTGCAGAAATAAGTTAAAAGCCTGCAAAGATTTCAGAAACTTGGAAAGATCAGATCCTTCAATTTCCTTTGAAGTAAAAATATTAACACCAATGGAAAATGTTCCTGTTCTATTTGACCACTTGGATGCTCTTGACAGAACACAGTTTTCAAGAGAAGATTAAAAAAAAAATACATGTACATAAAATTTTAACAGAGGAAAAACTCTTAAAACAAAGTTGTCTATTGGTAAAATAATACAGAACACTTGCCTATCAGACTTTGGTAATATAAACAGTAAAAAGAATCCTTATTTTACATAAGATTCCTTGGTAACTTGATGGTGGATTCCTTTCACAATGTTTGTAGTTTTCATGATATTATCTGAAAGAAACAGAAAAAGTACTGTTTTTACATGTTTCAAATTAATGTATACATTTCCTTCTAATGTTTGCTTATTCAAATGCAGTCTAATCACAACAGCAACAAGACTTGCAAAACAACACCTTCATTGAGTATCTTGAATGTGAATGATTGTATTTTGCATTAGCATTCCTCTATTATTGGAGAGAAGACACTACACAAACCAAACTACAGTGGAACAGGCGGACACTGTCAGGGCATGAAAAACGTGTGTAACTGGTGCTAGCCGCTTACGGGGGTGTAAAAATACAGAGTTTGAATAGCAGCTGAGAGAAAAAGGGTTTTGTGATGGGGGCAACAAGTAGAGCCATCCGTTTACAAGAGTGTCTGTTAGAAGAGTTTCTACTGAACACCAAAGTCTAGCTGTTTGGAGAGGGAAGGCAGTACCTTCTTCCCTATCCCAAGTTCTAGTCCCAGCACCCTGGGGATTCCACTCTGCAGACCAGTGCTCCACAAACTTAACTAATATAAAAGTTTGAGGGAATCACTTGATGGTGAAGGGTATTAATTTGTGAAAAGAAAAGACAAACAAACAAACCAAAATAAAACAAAAAATTAATAACAATGCCAGATTGCTTGTTTCCAATAATTTATTTTAGCTATTAATTTTAAGCTTCCCTTTGTATAATCCTTTCCTCAAGTAACCAATGATAAAAACAGAAAGAATGCATTCTCTTGATTAACGGTTGAGAAACAAAAAAATCAAGTCCTTAAATCTCTGGCAAGGACAAACATTCTGCCTTTGACAACCTGATTACAAAAACATTGACTAATAAGTTAGGCTTACCTTTCTGACTGTCTCCTTGATGAAATCCTTTCTAGATGTGAGGTCATATCCAGGAAACATGTCATAAACCTGAAAAATAACAAATAAATTTATTGAAAGGACAGTATAAGGCTAAGTTGTTTAGAAGCTTGTTCACCCATTTGCCCCTGAACTGCCCATACCGTAAATGACCTAATACACACCCTGGGTGTCTGTTTAATTCTAGGGGTCCAAACAGGGGTATTTAATAGATAGGAGGTGTTTAAAAGAGAGAGGTGTTTATCTAGGAAATCCAGAGTGCTCAGCATGAGATGTATTACTCTTTCCCTTAAAACATACCTGCTTACAAATGCTCTTCATTGTTACTTGCTCAAGATCAGCTCCATCTAAGAGATCCTTAACAACCTTTTCAAGCTCGCTATCCTGCAATCATAACCAAGAAAATATTATTCTTAAACTCAGTAAAAGTATCTACAGGTCTTTTCTAGTGGAAATTGTTCTGCAATTTTAAATTTTCAAGAAAAATAATAATAATAATAATAAATTCCACAAAATATACACTAATGATGACTTGTAGTTTCTAATTCTGTTTATCTCAAAATGCAAAGATGTACTTTTGAAACAATTTTGTCCATAAAGAAATTAACGGCCCAGAACATTGCTTCTTGATAATTCTAGTTAGTCCATCAACAGAAATGACAACTAATAATTGTCAGCTTAGTTAGCTAGACTTGTTTAGAAGCTCTTGTTAACTTGCATTCCACTACTTACTGTTGGGGCTTGTTTTTTGGTCTTTTTAGCAAGAGGTTCCTCATCAGAAGATGAATCATCTACAGGTGTTGGTTTCTCTGTCAAAAGAGAAAAAAGGAATTACTATACAATAGATATAACCGTGTAATATACAGTTGAAAGACCTCTTACTACAATGAAAAGTAAACAGCTATGTTATTATTCTTTTTAGTGGAGTTCCAGAACTAAGAAAATTTGGTAATCGATCCATCCATCATGTGACTGTACATCTGCACCGCAGTGGAGCAAATGTGAAACGTCAAACTTCTGGCTAGAGTGGGTGCCTTAAGCTACGTTTAATTTGATAATAGACATCAATTGACAGCTTTTAAAACAGGGTATCCACTGACCAATGTCACAAGACAGTATTGCAGTCTCAGGTGCTACTAATTTTAATTGATCACAGGCTCAAGTTTATGTTTTTCAGTCATACAGTATGTTAAAAGTACATGTAGATACTGTGGAAGTCCATTGTGTGAAGTAAATTTAAAATGCATAAACTGGAGCTTTGCTTTTAGCTCTGGCTACATCATGAATCCATAATTAGAATGATTAATCAAGGACAACAAAGAAACGGAGAAGGAAACCTCACACTGACCCTGTACTGAACACTGAAAGACTTGGGTTGGATACCAAAAGACCTTTTCAAAAGTGATGGCTTCATTAAGTCCTCTCTATTTTATTGTTAGACGACATAACTTGTTAAGTGTTTGACAGTTTTTCAACATTCTGAAGCCTTAAAAGGATTGCTTGACAACACACTGTCCAGTGCTCCAAGCACAACCTTTTTTAAAGTTGCCCTTTCGTGACCTAAAACTATAAAATGGCCACCAGAAAAAAAAGACACCCTGTGCAATATTACATGAGGTTGAAAGGATCAATGGATGGCTTAAGTGACATCTCATGGCTTAATAACAAGGGTGAAAGAGGCAAATTAAAAAGAAAGTGAGCTTTAAATAATAATTAATGCAAATGATTATCTCACGAACATGTAGGAAACACCATAAAGAGTAACTAATTAAAATGCCATTGTTTCTAGCATAAATTCCAAATTGGCACCTTCTCATGGCAATTTCAGTCGCCAAATCATAGCTTGAACATGGACATATTCATTGGTAACAGTCATGTATAACCAAATACCTTTTTTAGGAGTCTTCTTTTTTGGAGAGCCCTTTTTCAATGGTGTTATCTTAACAGGTACAGGCTCTTTCTTTTTTGAAGCCTTAACTTTATCATCAGCTTTCTTTGCCTTTGGTTTTGATTTGTCCTTGCCTTCTTTTTTCTCCTTATCTTTCGTCTTTTTAGATGATTCAGACTTCTTTGGTGATGATTCTACTTTCTTTTTCTTCTTTGGGGGCTGTAACATAACAAAAGGAAAAAAAAGAAATTAATTTAACTTTCCTATTGTATTTTGTTTGAAAGACAAAAATAGTGACAACAACATAATTATTCTACAGGGCTTGTTAATGGTTTGTTTCTTTTTCTTAACAAGCAGTACATGTGCAGGGTGTAAAGGAAGTCAGTTTTACAGCTTGCCATTCGGGCAAGCTGTACCTAGCATGTACTAGTCCGAAAGTCATTTCAACTAGCCTGAAAAAGATTTGATGAGCAGGATTGATTACATTTCTTCTGTAATTAGAATTCCCCGAAACAAATCATTTGCCCATCGCGCAAGTTAAGAACAGAATTCACTAGCCCGATAGCAAAATCCACTGGCCCCAGGCTATTGGACACCACTTTCTTTCCACGCTGAATGTGAAAGGTTTTCAACCAACTACAATCATTGTTAACAAAATAACTAACCTCCTCTTTCTCTTCTTCCTCATCTTCATCATCACCTTCCTCATCATCTTCATCTCCACTTTCTACAGTCTCAGATGTCTTCTTTGACTAAAAGAAAGTAAGGACTATCACCTTTGCATAGTGAAAAATTTAGTTTTCACAATATAAAAATAATAATAATAATGATAATATTGCATTCACACTGTTAAGTATCAGGTGGAAATACAAACCTTTCCTTTTTCTTTTTTACTCTTTTCACTATCTGTTAATACAATAAACAGTAGAGAAAGATTAAAATACACATATACCTCTTTAAAGCAAAGTAATAGCTCTTTTAACAATTGAGCAGCAAGGCCATTACTTGAAGGTCTTATTTGATGGCATCTGAATGTGGTACAATAATAATTATTAAGAATGACTATGTGGTCTCAACAAAAACGACAAAAAAACACAGATCATCAGACCTGCCAATAAGTTTTCTTTCTTGAGAGGATAATTATATGCTTGGCTAAGTCACTATTTTGGTCATACAAAACAAAAATATGGTCGTCTGTGAACAGTACATGTAGGTCAGGATTTGCAGGCAGACTAATATTGTTGTCATACATGTTTATTCACTGTGCCAATTTTATTGTGTTTAAAAGTTGCCTCAAGGACAAAGGCACATTGCACAAAATGACAAAGAACGTTAATCGAGCCTTGATACACGATTATGTATTGGTGCATTAAAAATTACGTTCTAACGCTAAAAGGGTGTTTTTTATCCAATAACCCTGAAAATTCATCGATAAATTTTAAACTTAGGAGAAACTTTGGTATACAGTACCGCTCAAAAGTAAGTTACCACCCTCTCGCAAGACGCGACTGGTAACTTACTTTTGAGCAGTACTGTTCAATACAGTTTTATTCGGGAGGTGAGTGAGATACAAACTTTAACTTCTAATTTTTAGTGAAATGTAAGGGAAAATGGCATCTTCTAACTACACTACATTTTGTTGACAAAGAATTCATTTCATTAACTCGAAGCTTTCTGCAGAAAGTATGTACTTGCCGTAATGCACATTGATTGCGCAGCAATCATGCAGAAAATCAAGTTTCTACATAAAAGCTGAGTAATGCAGAAACCATTTTTTACAAAAAGTGATAACCAACATAGTGTGCATGGCCTCCAGTGTTGATTATTCTCCAAATGATACACGCTATACTCTTTAACAGCTATGCAAATATCTCTGAGTTCTTACCTTTTTTCGTTCTCTTTCTCTTCTTTTTTTCTGCTTTTTTGGCTTTTGGTTGAGGAGCAGGCTGTAAAAAAGAAAAGAAAAGAAAATCTATCATTATTATCTCTCTAAGAACTACTACAACATGTACTGTATGTGCTTACTTGACGATAACACAAAAGTCTAAGACCAAACTTACTTGTGGTAAGCAAAGCCTTGCAACATTAATTTTCCTTCATAGCCATTGCAATTAATTTCAAATGCTTATACTTACTCTCCCTGAAGACTTTGGTAACATGAGAAATTCCATAACTTTTTCTAGAAGATCATTCTGAAAGAAGATTAAAGTACAATAACAACCTGTTAAAATACATTGCATTATTGTTCATACATGTATTTTACTTTTCACAGAACATTTCTTCAATTACTTTTTAAAGTGTAATGCAGCTCAGTGGAATTTTTTCCCACTAATTTTTACAAAATATTATTAACTTTACTCTTACCCTAATTCCTTTTTTTTCTAAATCAAAGATCTCACAAAGTCTTTTAAGTCCATCATTAGTAAATCTATGAAAAAGTAACCACACAATATTAATAGATTAAATGAATATAAAAGCTTGGTATTAGAGTATGATAATACAGTGTGCTCCCTTGGTATTTTCGGCTAGGCAGGCCGCCTGGCTTAGTTCATGGGAAAATTGGCGACGCCTGGCTTAAAAACCAAAGATTTAACCCAACAAAAGCTTATGTTTGTTGACATCTAGAACCAGGCATAATTTCAAAGTTGAAATCACTCAAGAAAGCTGTTGAAACATTCATTGTTTGGTGTTTTTATCTGTGTGTTTTCTTGCAATGAATTGATTATAAAAGTGATTTATTGTTGGATGAACATGTTCAAATCTGTGTTTTTATTGAAAGGCAGCCATCTTGAAATTATCCCAGAAACACAAGGGCCCATCAAGCAGCTTACTGTGTAGTACTAAATGAAGTTCATTTGCTCGCTTTTTAAGGGTGTCAAAATAGAGAACTTGGTCAACCCAAGATGTGAAGAACAAAAATAAAGGTTGACAAAAAGTCTTTTAAGAACTGATTATACATGTATTTCGCTGTCTTGGTTATTATTCAGGCTTTATACAAACACTGTGAAAATCACAGTCACAACACTCCCTGGCCGTCCCAAAATCCTCGGGAGAACACTGCAATACTGGTCTTACCAATTACCAGTAATTAAAAAGACACAGTCAGCTGATGCACATGTGCATTAGATACCATTTCTCAGCATTTTGCATAATAACAAGACAAGAACTTAACAGAAAGTGAGAAACACATCCTGAATATCTAAACAAACCTTGTCGAGTTGTACTAATTGCAAGTCAAAATCGTCATAACAGAGCACTCATTTTTTATATACAATTAGAATTTACCGATGGCCTCCTTAATCTGGAGGTGAGAAATGACACAAAGTCTGAATCATTGTCAAAAGTTGCAGGTCGAGAAAGCTTGATTTTCCAAATATATGCTATCTTTCTTTAAATATTTATAATGATGATTTGCTCTGCAACATTACTGACTCATTTCTTTTGCTATTTTGGTCAATGCAGGTGACTTCTCCCGTACTGACGTTTGAGAAATAAGATGCTAATGGCATGTACCTAAAGAGCTTATTCAAGGTCAACAGTACAAAACAATCTTACCTATCCAAGCCTTGTTTTTTGGATTCATACTCTTTAGTATCCTATCACAAATAAAGAGAAATCTTTCAGTATCCTAGTGGGGAAAAAAGGAAATGAATTCCCTTGAATTATATCACATCAAACTCAAAACATTATTTTTATGTACAGCGTAATAATAAATTATCATTCCCCTTACCTTTTCAAATGCAAACCCATTAAACTTCCTGATGTTCTTTTTAATTTCCATTACCTAGAAATAAGGAAACGGTTTTTTTATCTTTCAAACATTTTCTAACTTTTAATTTACAGCAAACTTACTTCAAATTTTGACATTTAAATTATCTACAAGTTATATTTCCCTCTGCATGCATAATGTTGTATATAGTTTATAAATAATATTGGGACTGTAATATAGCATATTTTATTTTATTTTAACTTATTTTCTCGAAGATATTAGCTCTACAGCTACTCTGTAAATTTCAAGCATAAATAAAGTATATGTATGTATGTAAATCTAACATTCAAAGAGAAAAAGGCCAGTCGAAAACATAATACACTGTATCATCAACATTTATTAATTGCCTTGGTGAAGTTTTTGCAAATGGCTTTGCAACATAAGCACACTGATACATGTAACAATACTACTACTACTCTTGCTCTTAACCCACCAATCATTAATTTACATTTTAACTCCATTATTATCAACTAAATCTTCCTCTTTTCTATATTTCCAAAAGGTGTTACAAAATAGAAATTGGTGGACATGTGCATGGCCCAAAAAAGTGCCAACAAAATTTACTTTAGAAACCCACAGAAAGTTGACAATAAAAACCAAAAATAATTTATAGACCTGAAAAAAATGACTAATTTATATTTAGAAAGGACAAATCTCCAACCAGGTATCCATTTTATGTAGTGAAAAAAAAAAAAAAAAAAAGAAAAGAAAAGAACAGTTGTAGGGTGCAAGTCTGTACTCTAAGAAAAATATGGGAGCCAAGTGCTCTTCAAGCTGCAAAAACTTACTTTTCCTGGTTCTCAAGAACAGAAGGGATACACCAGGGCCCACAAGGTGTTGCTAGGGCACAGCACAGCAAAGTTCACCATGTTTTGACCTTTAATATTATTTCTTTAGGTTTATGCAGATGTATAGAGAAGCAAAGTGATGGCATCACAAAAACTAAATTTGTCAAATTATGGCATAGGTTGGCATATTTAGAAAGACGTCCACTAAAAATCAGCCTGTTAATGCAAATTGGTGGGGGAGAGATAAGCACCATTATGTTCTGATGACTCCATATAAATCCTTTTACAACAGGCCTACATCGTAAGCATTAACAGGCTGATTTTAACCAATTGGACATTTTTCATCTTGATCTTTCTGAATATGCCGACCTATCCCATAATTTCACAGAGTTTAATTTATGGGACGTCAGACTTCTCTATTTTATCTGTCTGATCGTCACAGCTAAGGATGGGAAGGATATTGTCCAATGATGGACTGTTATTTGCAGCTGTGATTTGTGTGGTCTACATACCCTTCCCTCCCTTCCATATAAAAGTTTGTGGAGAGGTTTCAGTTCTACAGCAGCACATTTTCCTATCTCATAATTTGCTGAAAGACAAGAATTGAAATTAGAAATGACAATAAAATAATTAGAACATCCTTATTATTTTCATTAAGTAAAACCAGCAATCCCTTTTTTCAGCAATAGTAAAAACTATTGTTATTATTATTATTAACATATTTATGCTTACGCCTTTCCATTGAACCCAATGATTCTCCTTTGCCCTGTAAAAGTAAAAAAAATGTGAATGAGGTTCTTACACCATAAGATAATGATATAAAATATAATAAAAACACCAAAAATTATCCTCTACTCTTATATTGACGTTTCAGGGATAATGAAACAAATAAATTTGAATGGAAAATAAGAAGGCTAAGAATGCCAGCTAGTAAGAAGTGAGGCATTTACAAGTGTGGCCAAGGATTTGAACTTGAGACTAACGAGAACAAATCCAGCAAGTGGTCAAAGTGGGACATGAAATTCCTATTAAGTTCCAGCACGCTTAGCACTCAGCCTTAGCCAGGCTGCCTCCACCATCATACACTGTGTGTGATGAATGGCTCTGTAGGGTCAGAACCCTAATGAACACTATCCTTACCTCAAACAAAAGAGGTTTAGGTTGATGAGAAACTGCAGGTGGTGTTTGGCTGGCAAGGAACACTGTGGTTTTTCTTTCTCTTTTCCCCTCAATTACAACAGGCTTGTCATAAAGTCCTACAATTAAGGTGGAAGGAAAACAATTTTATTTTGGTACAATTTATCATTTTGTTTTGGTTTTACTCTCTACAAACTATGTGGTGCTATACTTGTGGAGAATACAAATATGACAATTTTAACTCATCAGTGAAATTTTCTCACTTGATTATTAAGCATGTAAAAATTAATAGGTATTATGGATCAGTAGTACTGACAAATCCTGAATAATTTGGGTAGAAAAGAAAGACAGAGCATAAGACTAATTTTATCCTTGAAAGAGCATGAAATATTAAAGTTCAGTTATTGTCAATTCCACAGCTCCCATATAGCTCTATTCATTAGACACAACACAGTGTACATTGCTAAAATATGATTAAGTTAATTGATTGTCATGCAGTAGTCAAAGAGAAATGGTCCATTGTCAAGCCAAGCCATCTAAGTGCACCCCCCCCCCCGATTTTATTGATAATTTGAAAGTTAAATGCTATCAGTTGTTGTAGATTTCAGATTCATCTTTGCATTTCTGTATGCGTAACAAGCAGTGAATTCACATGCAAGGTAGTTATGAGATTTCTGCCTGGTGTCCTTATAACAGTTTTATCCACTCAAAGTTTTTCAATCATTCCAAATACCCAGATGCTGTAGTTAAAAATTTGCTGCTCATTACACATGCAGAAATACATACTTGAATTTCACACTAGTTGCAGCAATGACTAACAGATTCATTTTTTCAATAATCAAGTCATCAATATAATCTACAAGTGTGTACTTAATTAAGCTGGCTTGATTGCAACTTTTCTGATAAGATGATATTCCCTAGAAGTGCTCTTCCTAAGAACCAACTTCCCGGCCCCTACCCCCTTCAAATTGTATCACTATGGAAAGCACACATATACACTGTACTCTAGCACAGGTAAACTTTAAATCACTTGGAATTCATTTGGCTGTGGCTTTTGAGAGTGGAGAAAAAACAATATTCACAGGGTTTTACAGGGGTGGGAGCCAACCATACTTTTCATTGGTACGCTAGGAAATGAAGCTGGGTTTTTGTCGAAACAGCAAAGCTTTGTGCATGTCAGTGTATGTAATCTAAAACATGACACACTGCTTCAGTTTCCAGTGTCAATGAGGTGCTGTAAAACTCTCGACCAAAAAAGGGCTGGATTCAGATAATAAAAAGAGTAGGATTACTTTTGTAAAAACACAACAAAAAACACGCACACCAAAACGTTATGCCATCTCATCTCCTATTGATCACAAAGTGACTGAAGCATACACATGTAAATTGCAATGTTGAGTTTAAAAAGCATCTAACTTTACAAAAAAAAAACGATGCTTTACGAAAACGCATTTAACAACTTCGTAAGAATAATAAAATGACATTTTAATTTTCTAAAACACAAGAACTTAGCTTACTCAAAAATGCAAATTTCAAAACGATATTAAGATTTGTATTTACACACAACAGACGCGCATGTTGCAAGCTGTCCACAAATCATACTACAGGCTTCTGCTGAAGCAAACACGCAGATAAGAATCTACAAACGAACTTTGATTACCTGTAAGCTCTTCTTCGCTGGACTCTTCATCTTCTTCTTTCTTGCCGTTCTTTGTGTCCTTCGAATCTTCGGTTGCAGCATTGTTCGACTTCGCGTCCTGAAATATCGTTAGAAAAATCAAAAACCGCATGAGCTGCAGCGTTCAATTTGAATTTTACCAGCACCTCTGGGGTTATTTTAGGGATTCATAATGATTTCTTGAAACCTTTGTGATTTCTTTTGCTTTGGATTTGAGGTCTTGACTATCCGCTTTGTCCGCCATGATTATGGCTTCCAACGGGCATGTGCTTTGCGCGGGAAACTGAACAAAAATCGATAACTGTCAGCCTCATTTTGATTTTCATGCTCGTCGCTGGATATTTTGTTTCCTGTCTGCAGGCTCACGTTCATGTCAAGCGCTCAACGCCAGCGGCGCGTACGTGAAACGTTTCCCACGCGGAAACCAGGGATGGCAGAAAAGCTATCCGGGGCTCCGGAGCGCCCTGATGCAGAACCCCCAAAAGCGAATAAAATCGCTCCAACTTTCATGCCAAGCAGCCAACTCGAGCCGGGAAACAACTTCTGCTCCGTTTGCCCCCCGCCTTTTTTTGACGGAAAAGCCCTGGGACGGGGTTCGAGGAAAGACGCTTTGCTACGCTGTGATACACATGATATGCACAGGCTACTACGCAGGTATTTAATCTGTTTTTGTTTATTTCAGTCACGTATATTTTCAGGTACCGTCTTGCCAACCTACGAGGAGCGCGCGGGCAACACACACTCATGTATCTCGCTCGTCAGTCGTCAGTGTGCAGTGTACGCTTGGTTCCCTTAAAGCTGTGGGAAAACGAGCAACAAAAATGAGCAACTTGTTTTGCAGAGTTGCATAAAATAGAATTGAAAAGCCATGTTGCTAGTTTTATACCACCAACAGTCAAGCCTGTCTTTCAGCACATCAGGCTGTTGCAAGTTGCAATTAAACTCTGGAACTCATTGCCACGTGCGATCACTGTTGCAGACAGCCTGCGTACACTCTTTTTTTTATATATATAAGAATGTATTTTATAAGAATATCGAGGTTGAAATTTGCGAAATTTTAAGAATATTTTAAGAATAAAGCCGAGGCTGAGATTTTGAAAAGGATAGATATAATTTTGTGTGTTAAAACATCTGTAAATAAGATGCAATTTTATGTTTTTAACTTAACCGTATAAAATTATTCCTTTCTCTGAACGGCGAAACTAGCCAACAAAACGAAAAAACCTGCACTAGCTATAGCAAAATGTTCAACGCTAATGACAGTTCGATGAACGGTACATGTCAGGGGCGGATTCAGGATTTTTTGTAGGAGGGGGTGCACTCGTCTCTTGCTCTACTTCAACACCAATAAACCANGGGGGGGGGGGGTGCGCACCCCCTGCACCCTCCCCCTAGATCCGCCCCTGCATGTAATACATATGTACAGTATTCAGCACAAAAGACATAATAAGAATAATACAAGAATATTTTCAGCCTAAAATCGGCAGAAAAATAAGAATATTCAGCCTGGGCCGGAAAAACAACATTCTTATAAAAAAAAAGAGTGTACTTTGAAAAAGAAACTTAGAGAATTCCTTTTTGAATCATTTCTGGTCAGCTAGATCGAAGAATTACCTATTGAGGTTTTTATCTATTATTATGATTTTAACGTTTAGATATTTTATTCTGTATTTCAAACTTATCTAAAGTATTATTTGTTGCTTATGTACGTTGCGTCTGAAAAACCCTCATTGGGAGAATCAATAAAGTTTTATACTTTTCCTTTACTTTTTTTTACTGACCTCTGATTGGATAAAATTACGTGGGAGTCAGCCCATACTCGGTTGCCTGGTCGCAGACGCTCTAAACCTTGACGAGAGCGTGGGCCGGCTGCAACGCAAGCTTATACTCGGGATTTACGTCCCTTGTTGAAAATAATTGAATTTGCCTTGAGCCGGTTAACACACAACGTGTACAGATATTGCTGCAAAAAGTAGAACTGCTCCCCACTTTCTGCTACAACTTCCCGCAACTTGCAACAACCTGAGCTAACCTGATTTGCTACAAGACCGGTTTGATTCATGGGTCAGTGGAAAAACACCCAAAATCGCTATTCAACTCGTTTTGCAGCAATGTGGCAAAACAATTTTCACGTTTTTTATTGCCTGTTTTACAAAACCCGTACCCTTAGCTCAATTACATTCCATTGCATACTTTTTCAATTTTGTGTTTTTCATTAACTCATGCACCGGTATGCCGCTTCACACACCATCTCGGCATTGTACTCCCTTATATGGCTTGAACAAGAGAGACGGGATATGCCGCTGCATGAACAAGGTATGGTTTCTGTCCTCTCTGTCCTAAACAGGGAACAGTACTGTAAATAATTTCAGGCGTGTCTGTCCTAATTGAAAAGGGTATTGCCTGCGCGATTGCATGGGTTTATTTCAATTTTGGAAGCAAGGACCAACGTTACCAAAAAGAAGCAAGGACCAAATCCTAATAAAGGATCTAATCAGCTATAAGTTGAAATACCTAAGAACGTCTGCGTGGGAGGCTACAAGTCTGATTTTACAGTCAGGAATATATATTTTTTGTTGCCAATTCGGAAGACACGGCCTTCCTTCTTCAGGGTCTTACATACAACGATAAGATTAAGTTAAGACGTTACAATTTAAAATAAAGAATAGCATGCAATACGATACTATAATAAATACTGTAAATATAAATTTCATGTGCTCCAGGTCTTCAAAGGCAATGCCCATAACGTGAACATTCTCTATTAATAATATTGCAATTGCTAATAAATGACTTTAAAATAAGACGGCGTTCATTTTGTTGTTTGTCCTAAACAGAGTAATAAAATTTAGGGTGTTGTTCTAGACAGGGTATGTATTTCTAAGACAAACTTAAAGCAAGGGGCACACATACACCAGCCTGGCCAGTACCTCACGCAAGCTCACAGCCATATCACCGGGGCAGTGGCAGCCATGGACAGCTGTTTCCCCTTGGGGACATGTGGTGTGTGGAGCAGGCGATTAAAGGAGTTCTTTGTACCTGCCTTGGCAGTAAAGGGCTTCTGAAGACGGCTTTGTATGTAGAGAGGTCCGACGGCTATGCCATGCTGATGAGCCCCAATATGGGCTAAACAGCTGTCCATTGCTGCAACTGCCCGGGTGATATGATTGTGCGCACGCGTGAGGTACTGGCCAAGCCGTTAGCTGGTGTATGTGTGCCCCTTGCTTTAAGTTTGTCTTATGTATTTTTAGATTTTTATGTCTTAAACAGGGTCAGGCTTTCAAATCCTCTGCGGCCGTCACCCCTACCTAAAGATTGGTCGACTACCTTCCGGGAAACGACTGCGGGGTTCAGAGCTCGGATATTACTATTATCGTTTTCTTGTTTGGGTAGAAGGACTACGTAGCCTGCGTGGCAGACGCAAAAAGAGGCGGGGAGGGGGGGGGGGGGGGGAAAAGGCCCAAACCCCCCCCTCTTTTTCCCTCCCCCCCTTCCCCCCCCCGACCCCTGCCCCCAGGGCTAGGCCCCCGGGAGTCCAATTTGGTATGAATGAAAAATATAAAGGAGCCGGGGGGCATACCCCAAAAA